GATCTTTATGAGATTAACTTTGTTTTGTTTACGACCAGACTTCAAACTTTTAAAGGTCTTATGGATCTTAAGATCTTATGTCATGGGAATCACTGACTACCAGATCGGGAGCTAAAAGCTGGGAACTGGCAGCGTTTCACGTGTACTTTCAACGCTTCCCAGACTCCCCATTATTTGCCCCAAACACACCCAGCAATGCCAATACGATCTGAAGAGGGCTCTGGGTCCGCTCGTTTTGGCCATCGCACCATCCATCCAGGCATCCATTCATTGGGAGTGTGAGAATCTCTAGCAATCGAAAGTTGTTATTGCTGGAGGGGGAATCCACCGACCGACCAACCACAGCCACAACCACACACATGGCGCAATTTGTAGCTTATTTACCTCAAACAACTCACAGTGGATAAACAAAGTTCATCTCGCCGCAGCACTCGAGTTTTCCAAAGAAAATATTAATTCAGCGTCGAACATCCGACTTTGTCCACGGGCAGCCGAAAGTCAAATATTGAGAGTCTCGGTCCCGGCTCAACTGGAGGGCAGGAGGAAAGTGCAATCCATTGGGGGGTTGTTGGTGCACTTTGCACCCGCTGTGATTACGGGGAAGCAGTTCTAGCGGATTACGTTAATTAAGCAAAAACTGGCAATTACGACCGTTAATCGACAGTTGAAGCTAGCCATCGATTAAACGCTGTAAAAGTGCTATTTCACAATGATGGCATTCCACAGATAATTGCATAATCCCGGCATTCACTTGGCAGGTGGGAGGAGCTCGTGACACCTGCACCTTCTCCGCTGGGAAGGAACCCTCCAAAGGTTCCAATTCCAATTCCGACGCCAATTAAAGTGGCTAAGCGCACTTCGCTGCCCAAGGCCGCCCATCTTGGGCACATTTCTCACCTCCGTCCAGCCCCAAGGTGACGCCGCTAATAGCCACTAATCTCTGTGCAAACCCACACCAGCTCCATATAGCCAGCCAATGTGCCATGTGCGTGTGCTCATCTTGCGGCGCATAAACCGCAAATGAGCATTTACCAGAGATTTGGGGACTGGAGCAGGCAAGACAATGCCGTGCCGGGTTTTCGGTTTTTTGGTTTTTAGGAGGAGGAAAAGTATCATTTCGCAGACGGTTCATTGTTGCCAATGATTGTGTTGTTGGCTCGACGACTCAATCAACACTTCATGGCGGGGGTCTTCATCGCCATCGCCATCGCCATCTCCATTTGCGACTCCATCTTCTGCCGCATTTCAATGTCAAAATCCTCAAGTGAGAAGTCGGTGCTTTGTTGACAGATTTATAGCGGGCAAAGCGACTGCGCAAACGAGCAAACGAGCAAAATGTTCATTAAAACCCGAAAAAAAAACAGTACAAAATATGCGTCGTACGAGCACAATTGCCTTTTGTTTTGGCCACATTAGTCACTAATTTGGGCAGGTCGGATAATTTTTATTTTCGCCAAGTCAAGGCGATTCCCCAGTGTCAATGTTGTCTCCGTCAGTGGGTTTACTTCTTCCGGAAACCTGTACTGAAAATTTGATTCTGCTCCGGCCCTTGACTCGTACTTATACCCTGGGTTTAAGCAGAGTAAATTGGGTATATGGTAAGGTTTAAAATGAGCTGATCGTATAGGCTTTACGGAGTATGTTTATAGTCCAAACCCTCGACTATAGCCTTCTTACTTGTTAGCCTTAGAATTCCAACTAATTAATGCATTGCATGCAATGCGAATGTAAATCCACACGGAAATAATTCGCTTGAGAAAAGCACACAGCTTGGAAAATAGCATTAGCCACTTCCAATACCCAATCTAAGTCAGGTTTAATTCTTATTCCCATCGACTGAAATCGATTAAACCTGTATTATTAAGTGAATGTTTAAATTTATGAAAAAAAACCATTTAGTTGAGATTTTCATCAAACGACTCAATAAAATTGAAAATATCACCTATTATTCCAAGACAATAAATGGTTGTTTTTAATTAAAACTTAAATGAATCGTTCTATTATAATTTCAAACAAAGTCTTAATAGATTCCTGCTTGAAAACAACTTGAAAGAGCATAAAAACAAAAGTTAAAAGCACTTTTGCAAATAGGTTTATGAAAAACAGAGTACTTCAAAGTCGTTGGGAGGCGCAAACAAATGTCAAGCACACTTTTCAGACACATTTAGAACAATAACATTTATCTTTCTTGGCAAACAAATTAGGATCTCTAGTATATGAGCTGCCCAGGTCCATAGTTTCATTAAAACCCGACTTAATACGTAGACAGACTGGATAGAGTTAAGACCGAAGATCTGCGGATTCATGCGCAAGCGCGGATCATTTATGGAATATTTTGTAACGATCAATTTGTTGTATTCCCTGTTGCTGTTGTTGACTCTGCTTGTTTTTATTCGTGTTTGTGTTTGGCGCGCTAATTACGGCAATTAACGGCCAAGATTTTGTAGCCAGCTCGTCGTATACAATTTGTTATTGCTTCTGAATTGAGATCGCGATCGGGATTGGGATCGGGATCGGATCGGAATTAGCCTAGTCCGCCGCGACTTTCAGTGTCTTCGAGTCTTTGTCTTCGGCATGTGAGGCAATCCGGAAAGTAGGCCGCCAAAGAGAGCTGATCTTCAGAGCGGGCCATCAGGTGATGCAGGTGGAAATGCAAGTCGCTGACTTAATAGATTCAACTGATTAAGTGACACAACTTCCTCCAACATCAGAGCACTCAACGCCTCACGAACAGCCTGTCAGTCAGCATGTTGTCTGATGCCTGAAGTGCTGAGATGTGGCCGTTGGTAGCTTCTGGTTGCTTTGATATGCTCCACACGTAGCAGACAGAGGCGGACAAAATTCTACTAATTGTTAACATTAGTCACCAAAAAAGCCACATCGGGTCATTTAGAACAAAGCCCCAAGCAGGCTTAAAAGTGCATTGTCAAGGGATTGCCCAAAACATATACATTGTATGCCTATCTAATTAGTCATTTAAAATTTCCATTAAGAAGCTCTACGTTTGTTGATTAAAATATTCCGTCATTACCAGGAAAGTAAAGCACCGTGTCAAGTGGCGTGCTAACAGACCACGAAGCGTTCCCCCCACCGTCTCATCAATTTTGGAACAATTCTACGGCCAAAGTTCGATTAGAAGCAATGACGTTGCTCAATGACAGCACACTTTTGGGCCATGTACTCGAAGATATATATTGTTAAATTAACATTTGGCTACACCATATTAAGATTTTTGGGAATATTCCAGGTTTCAGTGAGTGCGCATTTCATCTTTGAGAGAAATCAATCAGATGGGAGATTCTTCTGCAGGTGACTTTTTTTAAAAGTCACAATAACCTTTGCTATTTACACAATTTATATATTTATCACCAGACTCAAAACAACACATTTCCATTGCAAAACCGAACGCCATGGGAGTACTGAACCTGGCTCTTATTCATCTCTTGATGTTTATTATTTTTTCGGCTTGCTATTTGCTAGCTTTTGGCCTGGCCAAAATCACAGTTGTCTGGGCGTGTGTGCCGCTTGTTTGCCAATTAGCAGGCCCCTCATCCCTCATCCCTCAGCGGAGGAAGCCGGGATCCTGTTCTAGAATCTAGACAAACGTAAACGTTCGTTTGAATTATTTATAGAGAGTGAGTGGGTCGAGCGGGCTTTAAGCCCAAAGTCAATGCCAAGCTCTTCAGTGTTTGGATTTGTGTGTATTTGTTTGGGTAAACGTCCCGTAAATGCCCATAATACGGCCGCCGGAGAGGCTACTTCTCCGTCGTCGGGCCTTAGATCTTGGCTCCGAGATCTGCGATCTGAGAGGGGATTGGCGTGTAGCCTGTAAATTCGCTTGAAACGCGCACTACGTGCGTGGCATTCGAAGAAGTGAAGAAACCCGGATGGTTAGCATATGTAAATGTCGATTGCGAAAGCGAAATTCCCATTTTTACCGGCCTACAGTTTGAAATGATTTGTTAGCACTCACCCGTTGTCCCGTCCTGAGTCAGAACAAAGGAATCGTCGCAAAAGCAGGTGGAGCAGGAACTGACCAAGGGTGATTCCCTTTCTGGGCGTAGCCACTCACTCCAATTTGTTGGCAACACGGAAGCGATCTTCGTCAGATTGAAAGCCATCATTATTGCCATTATCATTACCATTATTGCATGGCAAGTCCTCGAAAGTTGTTCCCAAAACGGGTTCCGTTCCCCCATCCTGCGGTCAGGGGAAAACCCAAGGGTACTTTATTGCCAAGGGCAGTAGGATGCACTGCACCGCGACAGTCAAGTCCAAGGTCGAAATCTAGTCCGGTTTAGTGGCGATCTTTTCCGCACTTGTGCCTGTGATCTTTTTTTGTTTTGTACTTTGCATTAATATTAATGGCTCAAGATAAAAAAAATCACTGCCAATTATACACAACTATTTTCCAGCAAAGGTGTGCTAATTGCCCATTGCGGGTAGCACTTTAAGGCCTAAACTTTGAACTCAATGTCACGGGGTTGCTGGAAAAATTACATATTGGAAAATTCTAGCTGTTTTGCTTAATTTCAGGCTTTTGTTATTTATAAATACCCAATATTATCGTGAACTTGTCTCCAACAAACGGCTGTTCTTTCGATATGTAAACAAAGCTCAGCTGATCGAGTTTCGGCTCAGTTTTGGACTGACTTGAAAACTCGGCTCAGCTCAGGCTGTATTTACCTGGTCTTTTCTAATATTTATGTGAATCCGATGCCAGATCAAAGATATATTCAGCTTAGTGTAATATTGTAGGCTTTAATAAACTACTTAAGCAAGTGTCAAGCCAGAGTTGCCACATCGCTGTTTCGATTTTAATCGATTATCTCTTACCGGGATGAGGAGGTGGAGGAGGAAGAGGTGGGGTAAGAAGGAGGTGCGGGAGCGGAATTGGACCGTCGTCCAGTCCAAAATGGTTATTGTGAACGGACCAACGAACAAACAGTTGCAAAATAGCTAGAAATCACATGTGGCGGAGTGGTCTAAGTGAGACTTACCAATCTAACTTGAAAAATCCGCAACGATCGGCTGGCTGGAGCTGGCGCTGGCGCTGGCCTGGCTCGGCTTGGCTCGAGGGGGGGGGGACGGTTGGTAAATCACTGGAAACTGTAAAGCTGCCAAGCTGAAAACTGCAAAAACCACAACGGCACACAAAAATTGCACGGGCCCCGAACTATTTCACAAATTGTGTTGCCAAAGAACTTTGTAAAACCGATGGCTGCTGCTGGTGCTGCTGCTACTGCTGTTGCAATCGCTTTCTGGCCCACACGAAACGAGACGCGTTGATTAGCGCGCGCTTGACTTCTGAATGAAAACTGAGTCCCGTCGCTGCTGCGTTGCCGATTAAACGCGAATCGCGGCGACGCAACTGCCGAATGTCGACGCCGGCAGCGCTGCTCCCACGCCGTTCCAAACAGCCGCCGCTGCTGCTGCTCAGTCGTTGCTGGAGCGCTGGCGCAGGCGCAGAGAATGCCCAGTTTTTCTGACTGGACTATGGAAACTTTACGGTCAGCGCCGCCGCCGCCGCCGTTGAGAGCCAAGTGCAGTGTGCAAGTTGGCAGTGCGAAAACTTTCCGCGACAAGGCGTCAAGTGCACATAACAAAGCAAACAATCTAATTGCCTTTGACCACGACAAGACCCCAGAATCGAACCCAACCTTAACCTCAACCTCAACCCGAAGATTGTAAGCTCGGTTCGGTGACTTCTGGACTCCTGGTCAGGCAGGTTCTGCTGCGGTCAACATTTACGGAAAAACCCTAAAATAAACATATTTATCCTATACATATTTATTCTATTTATATTATTTACACATCCACGAAAATTCACACTTTTGTGAACTACTCTTGAAAAAACAAAGGATTTGTGTCACTTTTTCTAGTAGCAACAAAGCCTAAACAATGACAAAATATTACAAATTGACTGTATCTAAACGATAGTTTTAGCTGTATGTTTCGTGTTTTTTAAATTCTTGTATTGACCATTAAAATGGGTTTGTAATAAAATTTTGCGACTTTTGAAATCCTAATAATTTAAAAATGGGTTTCCATTTTTATGGCCATACTCAGTTGCTACTTAAATGTTATTTAAGACTGAAATATTATTTTTTATTACCCTAATTAGGGCTTTTTACAGGTTTGTTTCCATTTAATAGCTATTTATACCTATTCCAAAAGCTGTTAATTTCAAACATATGTTTATTTACTTCTAAGATAAAGCCTGTCTTAAAGATTTTCGTTTGACGAAACCTAATCACTTCACTAAAGAATTTAAAACAGAAGCGAAACATAAAATAGGAATCTAAATTCAAGAATATATATTTATAGGGTCAGAAATGACTCCTTCACTGCGTTTCAAGCTATAATATATAAAAAATATGTTCTTCAACATTGGTCAATGTAACATTGATTTCGGTTTCAAGGGTGTTGACGTTTCTGGATTATTATTTAAATAAGTCCAATGGTATAGTAAGATTCGGTTTGTCCAAGTTTTTTCCTTTGTCTGATCTGATTAAGAACGAGAAGATAAAGACATATATGAAAATGCCAATATGTGCCTGTATATATCGCGCAAAGAAAATTACACACGGATTACATCGTGAAAGGAATATTACAAATAAGATATAAAATATTTCTTCTCGTCTTAATGGGATTTTATCCAATATAATTCGAAATGATTTTAAATTTAATTAAATTATAATCAAAGTCCATTTGAGAACTCAGAATACTTTTAATACTCACCATGTTTTCGTACTTAGGCATCGTTATATACAAATCAGAATACTAATTATAATCAGCGTCAAATAGTAAGTGTGTTTGATGGAGATTTGGTTTCATTTTCTAATTATTAAATAGTGAATTATTATTATTGATTGTATAGAAGGAAATGTGTTTTAATTGAATTGTCCGAGGATGGGTATGATGTTTAAAAATTGAATGTAAACTCAAGGCTAGCGTGTGGCAAGAAGTTTTTAAAGAGAAAAGTTAATTCAATTTCATATCTGCATATATTTAAAAGACCTTTAATATCTATTTATTTGATTGACTATGTATAAACAATGCAATGCAACTTGGCGACACAATGTCCAAGGGTTCCGGAATTCCAAAAACTACGCCAAGGGCAAAGTATCTCGCCAATATCTTGAGAACATATACATTTTTTGGCACGTGTTGGGGGATCTAAACCGGAATAGCCCCAAGTATACCATAAACGGATTGGTCTTAAAAATCAAACTTGATATATTTTATATTGGGTAATAACTAGTCTTCGACTGGCACTGGCGAGCACTGAACTCTGATGAAAGAGATGGCTCGCCAACTGATTGGAACTGACTTAGGATGGATCTCAGTACTGGGATGTATTGGTGCGGGTGGGCTAAATTGAGCGCTCTGGGAATAGCCTAACAATGGGGCATCAAGTGGTGCCCCGAATGGCCCCATGCCGCCTGCTCCAAAGTAGATCTCCTCGTGCCTTACGATGCATTTAGTTATGTCAACTCGGCTAATATCAACTGGATGCTGATGCTTCTGCTGTTGCGCCAGCGACAAGGTCAAGCGAGTGTCAAATATTTGCCAGCGGAGAGCAGCACCTGGCACCTACTGGGCGTATACGCAACTCCGCTTTGTTTGTCAATAATTAGTAAATGAAGTAATTGCCAATTTCGGTATTTAGCCAGTGGCAAAATGCATTGTTATTAGCCTTTTTCGATGGCTTGGCGCGTGCGCATGCATCTCCCCGTTTGCCCAGCGAAGCGTTGAAGCCGCTCCGATTCCAGGCCAAAGTGTAGAGTGTGAGCTGGAGGAGATGCCGCCGATTGGAACTTGATCCCGGAGCCTGGAAGCCGTGTTCTCGGTACGGTACGCTATTTTGGTAACTAATTATTCAATTTCGTGGGTGTTACGCCAACCAAAATAACAACAAGCACCTGATTACGTATCTGTTTGCGGTTCAAGTTAATTTGGCTGACCCCGGGGGATATCTTATAAGCATAGGTTGTTTTTGCACCTCTAAAGGCTTAGATCACTGCCCAAATGCCAAGTAACATTGTATTGCGACTTGGACTGGGTCAGAATAAATACCTATAATGGGGAATGATTTGTGCTATGAACCTTTGACCTGTGTATTGATAAGTTTGTGCCACAAGCTTATACAATCTGATTACTCTGTATAGGCTAAGGTTGAATTGCTACAAATAACTTCAACTCATTACTTGGTCCGCATTTGCTTCGAAGTTTACAGATTTAAACAAAAGCCTAAAACTATGCCGCAGTTTATAGTTTCAGAGAATAGATATACAACAATTAGGTAATGACAACGAATAACTAACGACTTCTGATGGAATCATTATTTATTATAATAACGTTTTCCATTGATGGAATATCGCCAAGTTAATTTAATTTAAGGCATTGTTACATTGCAATATAAAATACTGATCCCAGGACCAAAGAATTACTCTCATAGTTTTTAATATAAATTAATAAGCTTTATTCAGGTTTTTTTTTTATAGTTTTTGAACTTGTCAGCTTAAACCACATAACTTAACAATGAAACCAATACGCACAGGTTAACAGACAGAATTACACGTACAAAAAAATAATTACTCGCAACAGCTTATCGCTATCGCTTCGCGGTTCTCTCAATCTTCTCTCTGAAATGAAACCGTTTAACAACTTCAAACCAAAAGGGGGGAACAGGGGGTATATCATACAAAAAGTGGTAATAAAGTATACACCTATATAAGCCACACCAAAATGAGGTTCAATAAAATATATACGAATAGTTGACAATAACACTTGTTCTTCTTCCATCTGCCCTATTGTGGCGCAACGTCCAACGCTCAAACTGATTGTCTGCTCCTCGTAAGCCATGTTTTGCACTTAGAGTCTAAAAGCTTTATCTTCATATATGTATATATATATATATATGATCAAATTTGTTGTTTCGTTTTGCCTGACTATACATATGTATCTCTAGCTAGGCGGTATGGGGGTGGTGGTGTCATGTGTTGTGTAGTGTTTTACATTTCGCAATTGGCTAGCTAGCTACAATATATAAATAAGTTTTACTATTTAGACCTTTACAAAGTATTGCAACAAACTGTCCTCTCAATATACAAAACCAAGCTACAAATAGTTTAACGTGTTCTTTAAGTTTAAAGCAGACTTAAGAGAGCATGATTAGCTATCTTTTATCGTTAGGATTACGTCTCGACTTGTTATCAAAAATTGCCATAAAAAACGTTTACAACTAGAGTGATACAGGCTCCTATGCATCAGTATATACACACACATAACTCTGTCCGCGTCCATATACGCAAACGCTATTATAATAATGGTAAATGGTAAATGGTATCTCTGATGCTAGTTTAGAACACGCTGCAATGCGGCCGGCCTGCAAATATCATTCGAAAAATAAGTTTGCTTGCGCGTACGAGTGTCTCAAAAAGGGGCTTGTAAACGTTTATATAAAAAGGGTTTGATTAGCTCTTAGTTTGTGCTGCCACTGCTCTTCCTACTTAGCTTTAGTTGACGGTTCGGGTGGGTGGGCCATATGTTGCTCTTGTTTCTAGTAATTTGTTTCTATTTACTTGTTCCTAGTCACTTGCTTCTTGTTACTAGTTGCTCTTGTTGGTAGTTACTGGCTTCTAGTAACTAGCTTCTTGTTACTCTTTCCTAGTCACTCGTGTCTAGTTACTTGCTTCTTGTTCGGTACGACTGACTTTAGGCTCGACTAAATTTTCGTATTATACGTATTTATAATATAAAGTATTAAAAGAACAATTCATAAACTGAGTTCTTTGCCTGATTTTGCCTTGCTGTATGCTGCCAATCAATTGTCATACTGGATCCGCTATTGCTGCCAAGTTTCTTGCTGGTCTTGTTCTTCAATCTGGTTCTGTTACACGCTAAACACTTAACATAAACATAATGAATATCATCGTAGTACACCTAAGTAGTAGTTATTTGACTTTGCGCTGGTGCAGACTAGAGCTACTGCTGTCCGGGTTCAAGATCGCATCGTTGGTGGATAGCACGCCATCCTTGAAGAAGCCGCCATTGGCATGACCGTTGCTATTCACGTACTCGTCGTCGATGACGGGCTGCAGAGAGAGAACAGAAAGATTGCTTAGAAGAGTTTGTTTGGGACGGATCATACTTCAATGTTCGCTGATACTTTGGCACTTTGCCACATTGGCACGTGTGTGCCGCTAGTAAAAGCTCTCATCAATGTGTGCTTTCCTAATGGGCAGCCCCGCGGCGGCAGAGACTAGCAGATTGGGATTGGAACTGGGCTTGGGCCTTCGCATCCGGCTTCACATGTGAGCGCTAATTGAAACGTCCCCCGCTAGCGTTGAGAGTTTGCAAGTGCTATTTGCCTAACTTAGCTAGTTAGAATATTTTTAAGTTGATCAACAAAATTATGATGATACAACTGCCCCCACACCGGCTTTTCGACTCCTCTCCCCAACAGGTTCCACACCCCGGCTCGGGGCTTTAGTGCGATCGAAAGTCCCGCGCGTAAGTCAAGTAAATATGTTTGCATAGCCTTCACTAATAGCTCTCAAGGGCCGCCTTGAGGTCCCCCAATTGCGTCACAGATCTGCCATGCCTTTGGACCTATGTAGCTGTGGATCAACCTACCATGCAAGCACCCTTATTGCTGCCGTTGGAGAGCAGTGCATCGCCCTCGCCAGAGTGCTTGGAGAGGCCTCCGTTGGCATGCAGCCCATTGCTATGGCCATTTGCCTTCACCGCTTGACGGCGTCGCCGAGCAGCATTAAGATATTTGGCTTTGTAGAAGTCGGAGAACAGGAAGAGGAACATGACGCCATGCAGCCCGATCCAGACCATGAATCCCTTGGGGTAGTCGCAATCGCGGAACAACAGCTGGAATTGGTGCGTAAAGATGGCCACAAATTGAACCTGAAATGTGTAGAGAGTGCGTTAGAGTGCAAACACGGTGTGCATCCATATGCAATCCTACCATCTGGAAGGTGGTCAGGTACTTCTTCCACCAGATGAACTTCTGATACCTTGGACCCATGGCAGCGATCATATAGTAGAAGTACATCACGATGTGAACGAACGAGTTCAGAAGAGCGAAGAAGGTGCTGTGACCACCTGCAGGAAGCATAGATTTATGAGTTAAGGATAAAGATCAATGTATATATCGAGTTCACAGGAAATACTGATTTATTTACTATTATTTCTGCCGCCCCAATTGAGCACTACGTACCTGGGGCAAACTTTAGACCCATCCAAACGGAAAAGGGCATGCAGCCATGGTGAATGACGTGAAGTGTGGAAACGTGCTCGTTCTTCTTGCGCAGAATGAAGAAGAGCGTGTCAAAGAACTCGGTGAATTTTGATATGTAGTACCACCAGCAAATGTTGACCATCTGAAAACCAAGGCCTTGTTTTAATACATATTTTCAGATGATTTCCCTGCTAAAAGCTTACTCGCATGGCCATGGGGCTATTGCTGTAGTCCACGGGCTGGCATTTGAAACTGTAATGGCCCCACCAGCCACTCATTAAGTACTGAAATTAAGGCAAACCAAAGGATATTAGGTTGGGGTTTGCTGGAGTTTTCATAGGTAACTTACCTCATAGAAAATCCACGCACTAAATATTGTCTGTATCGCATTGTAAACGACTAGCACCGAACGGAGTTCCATTGGTTTGCGTTTGGCCATCAGCCTGGGTCCCAGAGATTTGCTGAAGTAGGCATAGAATATGCACATGCCCAGTGTAGGCAGCGGCGAGGATAGCAGAAAGAAATCGTTCACGCGTGGATCTATGATTGGAGTAATGCATTAATAGCGAATCCTTACACACGGGAATCTGGGATTGCCAGAGACTTACCACTTTTGGTGTCCATTAGGTCCCGGTACCACTCCTGGGCATCTTGCAGTAGAATTGCCATCTTGCCGTTATAGGTGGTTCTTGTGATGCTTACAAATGGAATCAGTCCAGAATTTTGTTCAATTAAACTGCAACGATATGGAAATGGAGATGTTCACTAATAGGAAATTTTTAGGGTAGTGTAGATAGCATCTCCACTGGCAGCCGGCTGATGGAATAGTCTGCGCTGTGTTTAAATCATGGCCAACTTATGAGGCTCGTAAAATTGAAGTAATGGCATTGAACTTGACTTAGACAGACAGAGCTTGGCCAACTAAGGAGCTCCACAGGGAGCTCCAAAATTCAGGCAATGGCATTGAACTTGACACTGTTGGTTTCTACATTTGTGGCTCTGCGGATGTTAAGGCTCTAGTGCCACGGGCACACGACAGTTTAATTGCCAATGCATTAGAGGCGAAGCACATGCAAAAAAATAAAAATAAAAAGCGAGATTCATGCAATTAACAATCCGGCCGTTAATCAACACTTTAGATCGGGAAATAATAAATAGACACAACGACAACGACGACAGCAGGGACGGCGGCGGATCAACGGAGGCGGTAATGAGGGGCGTGACTTGGCCGCTTGCACACTTGGGCCCTAACACTTGCCGGTCCAGCTAGCTGCAATTAAGATGCCGCTAACCTGGACAAAGACTGCACTCTGTACCAGTCGAGGCAAGGGAATTCCGGATTCCTGATACCAGATTCCAGCACAGTGGTTCGAGCTGTGCGCGGGTTCAGCGAGTTCAGGCAATCACACTGACGCGACGCTTCCAGTTACTGGTTCTCGCCACATTGTCTTATGAATATCAATTGATTTGCCAGGGGACAAGAGGGAACGAGGGAGGGAGGAGCGAAAGCAGAGTCTGGGCTTCGCGGTTTCGCTTTTTTTTCCCAGCAGCTCTATGTGTGTATACAGTACACACTCCAATAAGCATAAGGCAAGGTCTTTACAGGAATATTTTAGATTTGTTTAGATAGAAAATGTATAGCAGAGATGTTAAAGATTCTCCTCCGGTCAAATCTTACCGAGTTCTACGATTATTGAATTTGAATTGTGTTTTGAATACCTTTTAATGAAACATCTAGAGATACACCCCAACTAACCTTTAATCCCCAACAACCTAATTAACATTAAATACCTGAAATGTGAACTTTGGGCTGCCTAGAGAAAATGGTAAGGAAATGAAACAATTATAGGTTTTTTTGTGTTTAACACTGATACAACCTCCCATCGCTGGTCAAAGGCGATTGCACGGACGAGTTGCGGCCACTTCAGGTTGCTTTTTTGAATGTCATGAACAATAAACTGGCCATGGCGGATGGCGATGGCGTTGGCGATGACGATGCCGATGGAGACGTAAGAGTTGAGCAACTGGCTCAATAACCGTTGACAAAAATGTGCCGCTTTTATTGCCGCTGCCAGCGCGTTGCCTCAGCCAGCGCGAAATTCGCGGTTGTCGCAATTGGTGAGCCGTTGTTGTCGTCGCTGTGTGGGTCAGTGGCACGCTTTCCGAATCGGCCTCGACTATACACTGGCGGTGGCTGGAGGCGGCGGAGGCTGGAGCCAGCGCATTCGCAAGGTGCGACGATGGCGGGCGCTTAACTTGCGATTTCGCTGTTTGATTTGCATAAATTATGAAACGCCAGCGATGACGCTTCCGCCGAGGGATGGGCCATGCCGCCCGCCCTCGTTACCCCTCGTTGGCAGATATATAGGAGGCAGCGCCCTCGGTTATGTAAGCGGCTGGCGGTGGAGCTGGCGGAGGTGCCAAGAAGATGCAAGACATATGAAACACAGGGCGGGTAACTATACACAAATCGGCAAACAAACACGGCGGGCGACATGTGTTTGAGCACACGCCCGTGCCCGAGTGTCGCCCATGTTTGCGCCCAAGTAAACAATCAATGAGCCATCGAGAGCCGAGACGCCTGTTGCTATTGCTCTTCCGCCAGTGCCACACATATACCACCACCACCACCACCACCATCAGCACCCACCCCCTCCCGTCATTAGTCCTGAAGGCCGCGCCAAGAGATTGGCTACGTAATAGTTAGCAAATGGGTGGCCAAGGGAGCGGAGGCCAAACCGGGTGGTAGATGCCCGCACGCCAATGTTTACATGGCTCGGTTTTGCAGTAGCTTGCATTTTTGAAATCAATTAGAGCGGCGACGCCCCCGAAGCACACACGGTGAAAAAACTGTTGGTACTTAATATGAGGATAATCCAATGATAAGGATACATAGTATAGGTATCTATCAAAGGTTTTTTTTTGATTAGGAAAAAAAAAGGATACCATATACATATCCAGGAAAGACAAGTGGAGTTTCAGAATAGTTTTAAGTTTTCAAAATATTATCCTCTTCCATATCTACTCCTTATCCTGAGATACTCTTTAGATCCTAGCTAAATTATTTAAATTAGAGTTTAAGTTCAATTCAAGCTTAAGAAAATCAAATTTTTGGCATTTCTTTCAGTGCAATTAGAACAACAGGCGCGGAACAAGAGAAACAGCGTAAATAGTTTGATGAGTTTGTTGATTTTATCGCCATTCACCCTCGGGGGCGTAGTAATACTAGAGTGTATGTAGATTACACGGCGATGACCTGGGTTTTCCATGGCAATCGTTCACTTAGAAAACTTAATTAACTGGAAAATCGATGCACAAGAGGGCCCCAGCCAGGAGCTTATTCGCCTTGAAGGAGACGATGTCGGATGACGCATCCTCCGGTGATAAGCTCCCGGGACCCATGCCATGCCATGCCAAGTGAGTCACATGCCAACGAGCTTTAATCTACTGCCAGATAGTGGGAGGCAATTTCCTTCAAGTATTCCCATATAATGATTCCCGGTAATCTGCAATGAGTCGGTCGGTTCCCTTATCAGTACGCTCTAAAACCCCACACATAAGCATATATATTGGTCAGATTGAGGCCAGCGATCGGCTAATTGGATTTGATAGATAAGCCGGTCAAAAGGCGAATCACTTCCGTCTGGCATTAGAGTGGCAGACGGCACCTCCTGGCTAGCCACCTGCTGCTGCCGCTGCTGCTTCTGCTGCCTTAATCGCGTCACGTTCCGGGCCGCACTTGGTGCGATTATACAATGTGCGATGTGCTAAGACCGAAACGCGAGCGTCCAGCTAGCCGAGTTCATTAGTTTTTGGGCCACGCACACCTGCCGCCTCCCTCGCGCTTAATATTTCAACTTGACTATCACTCACCACCGAGTTATTTATTTATTTATTTATTTTGTTTTCGATTGGCCAGGGTTTTGGGCCGCGGCTATGTATGTATGTAATGTTGGGTTTTTTGTCACTTGCCGCCTGGGTTTCTAATTAGGTGGGTGAGTGCCCCGGTAAATGGTTATCTAATCACAGTCACTCCCCACGCACTCGGTCACTTGGGCACTCACTCGGACAATCGGCCTTCTTGGCTTCTTGGCTAATCGGTATTATTTGGCAACAGGCTGCGTCGGCGGCGTCTGTTCCGTTCCGTTCCGTTCACGTTTACGCGATGCTCTGCCTTGCACGCTTTTAAGCCGACTGACGGCTGGTTGGATGTGCGTCTGAACCTTATCAGGCGGCGGCGGCGGCGGCGGCGACAACTGCCTGGCCCTGCGGTAGTGGTAGCGGTAGCGGGAGCAGTAACATCGGAACGACGGAGCGACACGACGAAGTTGAATCGATCAGTGCGCGCACGAGTAAAACGATTATACGGCTTAACGGTGAATCACTCCAAGTACCAAGCGGGAGGGAGCAAGTCGCCCTGCAGCGGGTCAGTCCCCAGTCAGGTGCGAGAGAGGGAGAGTGTATCGGGTGTCGATCGAGTATCGAAAATCGAGGGGGTATCGCCTTACAATTTTATTATTGTGGCCCAGGCTTATCAGGCTATCGGGAGGCGTCCGCTCGAGAGCCGCGAGGCGCAGACACTAGCCGCTTCGTGAACCGTTGGCCAGCGTGCCAGAAATACAACTGACGCAGCGCTCCATGCTCCACGCCGATCAAAGATGGCCAAGCCGCCAAACCTCCACCACTGCCTCCGGTCCGGGCTTCGTCTCGGCTCATATTTGCGGCCGAAGTCGCGCTTACATTGCAAATTATGTATTTTATGCACAGTGGCGGTGGGGAGGATAGCATCAGAGGCTGCTTTTAAAAAACTACCATAAGCTGGGGGAATCTCAGCCCAAACGAAAGCTTTAGAAAGGAATTCCCATTTGAACTTGATAGTTTTTGTGAATAAATCAATCAATTAATTTCCCTGTAAATAAGGTTTAAATCTATCAGAATTTTAAACAAACAAATAATTTATATAGTTGTAGTCATTTTCAGGGTAAATTTATAAACCATAAAAATTTATTAACCAGAAAGGGAATCTAGCTTCGTGAAACCGAATTTTACAACATCCTTGCGGTTTGGAATTGAATCAAAAAATTGGAATTTTAAATCTTTCATAACCCAGTCAAAAAAGCCTTAATTTAAATTTAAAAACTGTCTTTATGTTAGTTTTTGTTAGGGTAATAAATCTGCATACTCAATTTAAAATTAAAAAAAATTGACAATTTTGCAATTTTAACGACGTAACCCCTTATGAAATTTTTAAATTTTCAAAAACTGAAAAAAATTAAATTCTTGCCGGACATGGCTAGGTCGACTCAGATTTTGAAGCTTATCAAGAAGGTTTATAGGCTCGAAAATGACACCTTCATTACTTTTCAAGCTTCTGACTGAAATTATAATAAATGGCAAGGAAATAATTTACAAATTTCTATAAATCATTTTCTTATAATAACCAATTCATATGATGATTTAAAATGTGATGAGAAAAGAGGATAGATTTATGAAGAAATATATAAAAAAAAAAATTGTAAATATCTATGGCCAAAGAATTTTCAAGAAACTTTAGAAGGATTTTAAAGTTGTGGTAGAGGTCGATATACAATGTTGGCCGTTGTTGTGGCCAGGCCAAAATGTGTCAGTGTGTGCGTGTGTGTGTTTGGAAGCAGGGAAGAAAAAGAGAACGAGAGAAAAGCACGCAGCGAGATCGAAGCGGGGTTTTTCTGTTTTCTGCTTTTCTGCTTTCCGTGG